TTTTTTTCCATTACACACTCAAAATACATGACATTCTTGGTTCAAGCAGCCAATCACAACAAACCCCAAATATTAAAGCAATCTTTCATATCATTAAGGTCAAACTCCAATGATAACATTTAATTTTCAGTCATCCATTAACTTCATAAAATCATTTTAATATGAAGCTAACAGTTGGCTTTATAATAGAGCCGACCTTCTATATATAACAAGTAAATTATATCATGCATATTTCCTGATTACTTAAATTACACTAATAATTTTATTAATATAGTATAATTTATTTGCTGTATATAGAAGGTTGACTCCACTGTGGAGCCAACTGTCGGTTTTTACGGCAAAACGGTTTATAAACTATATAAGCACACAATAAAAATCAGTTTTGGAAGATTATTTGGGCAGTTTCATGCCATTAAGTCAATCTTCAAGGATAGCCTTTAATTGTAGTTATCCATTGATTTTATTCTTAAACTATTGGCGCTTATGACAATGATTAAGACACTAGTAAATGTTTTTAATTTCAATATTAAATAATCATGATTTTATTAAAGCCGAAAGTTAATTTTAAAAACTTGGATTGCATCAACTAAATGCATAATTTTCTATGATTCCTTAAGTGATGATGAAATATATTGTTAAAATAGGAAATGCAACGGTCCCGTTACGGAAACATTCCGTTGGAGTTTGTAATTATTGGATCATCATGAAATCGTCGGGAATAACTGATCTAACGATTACAAATCCCGACGGAATGGTCGTGACGGGACCGTAACATCTCTCTGTTAAAATAAATAAGCCCTTTTTATTTGGTTATATATATATATATATATGAATATATGTGATGTAATACAAATTAATTTACATCTCCTAATTAGTGGTGAATTAAGTGTTTCAATTTTAAAATGTCCATGACAGCTTAACCGCAGCTTCTCATCAATAATGAAACGTGTATATATTTTATTTTGCTTTTGAATTATGAATCCAAGTCTTCAAAGCATTCAAAAAGAGACGATTTTATCTGACTTAAACAAGAAATTACTCATAGGACAATGAGGTTCCACCTAATGATAAATGATTGTATTCACATATTAATTTAAATATTAAGAAATATTATTATGTAGCTTTACTCTTCACACTCATATGTATTTACATTTATATGCCAAAAAAAAAAAATGTTATATAATAATAAGTCAATCTTTATTAGTACGTACATTTTTCTTTTTTCCCTTTCCATTTATTGATTTGATTATTTATCCAAAAAAAAAATGGTATTCAAAATTTATTGTTCATAAATAGTATCAAAATTATATCATAAGTACACTATAGAAAGTGACAAAATAGGATCTTGAATTGACAGATTGGGTTAGAGTTTAATTTGGCATATCACATAATGATCAAATAATGACTCTTTGTTCGATACGATATTGATCTAAATGATCGATAAATTCGATCTTACCCCATGAGGTAGTGCCCATATAGAGTTTTTAGCCACATATTTCGCACATATCCATGTGTGTGTCATTATGTACGATTGTGTGGCTAAAACCCCATGGAAACACTACCGCATGGGGTAGGATCGAATTTGCCCTAAATGACAAGGATAAAAATATTATAAATAATCAAATAAATATCAATTGAATTGAATTGATTGTGACATTATCTTTATATTTGGAAACAATATAAGTGAGTCATACATATATAAATTAAAATAGTTTATTATACATTCTAATAAGGTTACATCATATCTTAAATAATTTTATAGTATCTAAATAATAAATATGTTTTGTATTCCATCCTGGGCATAACGGGGAAATATATAAATAAGTAGACATATTAAAGATAACTTTGGCACAAAAAAAAAAGTGACTATTATATAAATTTTTATTTTTTATTGCATATCTTTTTAATTAACACTTAAAACAAAATTGTTGATGTGAACTTGATTATATAAAACAAAAACACAACACAAAGAATTTGTTTGTTTTTATTCCTGGCGTTGTTGATATTTTGAACCCGAATTTGTATTACAAGTCCAATTATTTGCTTCAAGTCTAGAGGCCCAAACTTAAGGCTCGGATGAGAGAATAAATATACCCAATTTCAAAGCCCACGTCAAAAGAGGCCCAACCGAACCTATACGGCTAAACTCTTTTTCTATTTTATTTTTTTTGTTTTATTTTTTCTTATGTGAATAAATAAATTCTAATATGAAAAAAATTAGTAGTTTATAATAAATAGTTTAGTCACCTTAATTTTTATTTGTAGGCTTGTAGTTGAATTACCTAGTAATTATTGTATAATTAATCTAATATCCATCTGAGCTAGCCAATCAATTTCAAGAAGGCATAACACAAAATTCTCTTTTTTTTTCTTTTTTTTTTTTATGGGTGACATAATGTGAACAAAATTATAAATTTTTACAATAAAATATGCATTAAGGATATGTATACTTTCAACCTGAATTGACAAACTCCGAAAAATCAACATAAACAGAAAATAAAAAATATAAATATTTAATTTTTTCGTGTTTAAAAAATAGTTGATTGATCCGAGTAACTCCGAAAAATCAACATAAACAGAAAATAAAAAATATAAATATTTAATTTTTTCGTGTTTAAAAAATAGTTGATTGATCCGAGTAACGATTAGGTCGATTCACGAATTTTAATGTAAAATATAATATTAATATATGGAGATAAAGTCTTTCTTACTATTATTATTATTATTATTATTATTATTATTATTATTATTATTATTATTATTATTATTATTATTATTATTATTATTATTTTAGTTGGTATTGATAGTTAGGGCTATAAAAAAGTAATCTTTCAGACACGCATGCTATTTTGTTATCATACAAAACAAATGGGAAAAAAAGTGTTTTGTCTCACTTTAGCTTCTCAAGTTTTCATAGTTTATGTTGAGCTGCTTGTGGTAATTACACGTGAATAATTTTACGTACGTTCATTACTAATTCTATTTCGCATGAATATTTTACTTTATATATGGTCCAAAATGAAATAAAAGGAGTAAATTTATATGTGGTTTTAATTATTTAGAGAACATATGGGGCGTGCATTTCTCGAATAATATTTATACAAATATTGTGCAATTTAGATGATGTGTAACGCGTGCCTATATATTGAAATGTATTTTTTTTCTTTTTTTTTTAGTACAATGAAGGAGGCCAAATGCCTGGTAAAGTGATTAGGCTAGAACACGACGGGAGTACGACACCTTAATGATATCGTGTTCAAGCCACATTCTCATGCCTAACGGAGGTGAGAATATCCTCTGCAAACAAATCGGGCGGCATGTCGCCATGCTCGCCAAATGGTCCGCTGCAAAGTTTGCTTCCCTATATACTTGAAGTATCCTAGCGCGCCACTCTCTCCAGATCAAACTACGAATGACCTTGACCAAAAAGTCATAGGATCCAACCGTATCGTCTCAGCTAAGAACCATTCTCGTCATGCACTGACTTTCAATCTCGACAATCACTTGACGTTACCCTTTGTCCCAAACCTGTTGTAGCCCTTTGATGCAGATGAAGCCGCATTCGCTTATATGGAAAAATACGAGAGGCTTCATATTCTTCTGGTTTCTTGAGTTCTTCAAGAACAATTCTCCCTTTTGTCTACCACGTGCTGCATCACCCTTGAAAGAGACCCCATGTTTCGAGCCTGTAATCGTGCAAAGCCCGATAATCAT